TTTGGACGCTTCATTAGGTACACCACCTCATCGGATCAAATACGACAACAACAAAAAGAATCCTCCTTTAGTACAATAACGCAGATACGGTCGTACTTTGGCTTACTGAATGAGTCCACCAATTTATGAGCTTTCCACATTATGAGCTTTCCACATTATGAGCCTTCACTGGGTCAATTTTTGTTGGAAATGAGGTCGCAAAGGTACTATAATGCCCTCACATGTGGGCAAGGAAAGACAGCCAATGATGCTTTTATCAGTGTTTATCGAATGGAAAAGTCTGTCAAACACTAAAATATAAAATGAGAACACTTTCAAGGAGCTGCTGTAGGCCACTAGTCACGCCCTGCCACTCACAAGCAGACTACCGGCCAACTCAAATTTGCCGCGGCCCTTAAAAGGTTCACATTCAGCACACGGATACAATATTCTCATTTATTATGTTTCATGCAATGCAGTGCTAATTTTTTCAATTATTAAAAACGTCGAACCATTTTTTTTTTTTTTGGTGGGCTGCAATGGAGTTATGACATTTCAATTCATTTTAATGGGGGAAATTGAGTTGTGAGCTTGGTCACAGAATGAATGAACCTACTATGTCAAGAAAGCACTGTGTAGTAATAATAGTAATAAAAATACTAATTAAAAAAAAAAAACACCATCTTGGCACCAGGGTGAAACATCTCTGCACGTGTCAGCTCACGCATATGACAGCTTTGCCAAAATGAAGCATCACGCTTGACACAAACACATGAAAGTGAACGATGCATGTTCCGTACCTGCACGACACGGTGAGTTCAACTTTGGTGGCGGGGATGGCCGCGGTGAAGGGGTCCGCGTCCCCGATGCACGCCATGCTCCAATCTGCAGAAAAGCCTCAGTGGCGGGCATGAGAGGGATAGGAATGAGCTGGATGATGATGATGATGATGATGAGGATGCCGGTGGTCGTATCGCGGGGAAGGAGACGAAAGGGAGTTGGCGGAAGTGGAAGTGAGACTGGGGAGGAGGAATGAAGGAGGCTCCTCCGTCCGCTGCTCCCGACCGAGCGCCGACGTGTGGATGCTTCTGAGCGCGGGAAAAAGCTGGTAGTGTGTGACTCGAGAGAAAGTGAGCGAGAGAGAGAGAGAGAGAGAGAGAGAGAGAGAGTGGTGGAGGGCAGAGATAGAGAGTGAAGGATTTCAATTGGCTGTGGATTAAAGCAGCTGTGTGTAATAATTACATTCTTACCTCTACTATACCACTCACTGCGAGGATTGGGGCGGGTGGGTAGAGAGAGAGAGAGCGAGAGATTCCGCAAGAGGGAGAAAGAAAAAGAGATTGATGGAGATGGCGAGAAAGAGAGTGAACAAGAGAATGTGAGGGAGAGAACAGAGGCAGAGAGAAAGATCGAATAGGGTAGAAGAGAGGGAAAGAGAGTGAACGAACAGAATGACAGGGGGAAGGAGAGGGAGTGGGGAGAAGAGATGGAAAGAAAGGAAGAGATATGAAAGAAGCAAGAGCAGAGGGAGTGACGGAACTCGGGAAAGGGAGAGATGAGAGCACGGGGAGAGGGGAAAAAAGGTGAGGAAGGGGAGAGGCGGAGATGGAAAGAGAGAGAGGGAGGGGGGAGAGGGAGATCGAGGGAGAGAGCACGGAAAGAGAACAAGAGAGGAGAAGGAGAGAAGGTTAGAAAGAGGACAGGGAGAGGTGCGGGGAAGGTGAGAGCGAGAAAAGGAACGAGCGGGAGATAGAGAGGGAATGGAGGGAAAGGATAGGGGAAGAAGAGCGGAGGAAGAGAAAGAGAGGGGGACACAAGTTGAGAGAGAGAGAAAGAGAGAGAGAGAGGGCAATGAGAGAGGGTTCGGGAAAGAGAGGTGAAGAGAGAAAAAAGAGGGAGGAGAGAGAGAGCAAGAGAAGATGAGTGAGAGAAGGTGGGTGAGAGCGGGAGGGAGAGAAGGTAAAAGGGAGAGAGGGAGGGAATGAGGTAGATAGAGACAAAGAGAGCAGGTGAGAGGGTCCGACCAAGGATGGAGAGATTTCCATTTCAAGTATCTGTGGCTGAAACCAACAATATGCAATTGACTGCTTTCCAAGTGCAACAATAAGTTTAGCCCTCAAAACTAACTTTGACAATGACTGACGATGCGCATGATTTGCATGTGACATCACTTCCTGTGTCTCCCATGAAAAATCGGCATCTTGGAAAAGAAAGTCGCGTCAAAGTCGCGCAAAGGTGGTCCAGCCCAGCTGTGACTCGGCAGATGGTTCGCCTTCGGGGACCACCCTGACCACTTCGGACATGCCCGGAGCAAAATGGCAAGCTGGGAACATGACATCCATGCTAACCTCTCTCCTAAAAGTCTTTTCCAGTTGAATGGCGGTTTCACTCTTCACCACAATTGGGTGAGAGCTAATCACTTTGGTTCCCAGCGTGCCCAAAACAAAGATGGCGGCGAAGCACTCTTTCTCTCTCTCTCTCTCCACCCTGACCACTTCGGACATGCCCGGAGCAAAATGGCAAGCTGGGAACATGACATCCATGCTAACCTCTCTCCTAAAAGTCTTTTCCAGTTGAATGGCGGTTTCACTCTTCACCACAATTGGGTGAGAGCTAATCACTTTGGTTCCCAGCGTGCCCAAAACAAAGATGGCGGCGAAGCACTCTTTCTCTCTCTCTCTCTCCACAAGCTAGATGGCTGCCTGAGCAAGACAAAGCTAATTAGCAAGCCCAGCGTGAAGCTGAGAGAAAAACACAGGACATCTGTCGGTTCTGGTCAACATGGATGTCACATTTCAGCAAAAGTCGAATGTTCCCACCCATGAACAATATGCTGAGTAGCAATTGTTGTTCCAGACATTTGAGGACTAACATTCTTTTTTCATTGGCAGATTAAACAAATGCTCATCAAGACCATTAATGTGACATGCCAGACAATTTGGTTTGTCTCTAAGTTAGACCTATTGTATTTTTTCATCATTGCTTCATTTCACGATATCACGCTGAATAAATAATGGCAGATTGAGAATGTGCTCATCAAAACCGTTAATATGACATGCGAGACCATGTGGTTTGTCTCGGAGTTTTATCTATATTATTGCAAGAGTGGGCAGTCTATGGCCAAATTTAGGATATTTTATAGCCCAAAAAGATATATTTTTTTTGATTACCCAAGGTCATGACTCAAAGGTGCCAGAGATCTTGAAAACTCACCAAGGCTGTTAATATGACGTAAATCCATGTGGTTTGCTGCAAACCTTTACCTACACAGGGGACAAAATAAGTTGACAGGGTTTGTTGGAAATTGATTTTTGAGCTTGTTAGTGCACTAGTAGACTTTGATCCACATCAGGGGGTCACCTATGGCTTACCGTGACGTTCCAAAGACAAACAAAACCTCGAACCACTTCACTCCCACTCCTCATCCCCAAACCCCAAATGGTCCAAATAATAAGGTGGACAGTTCTCTTTCTCCTGAGTTGGCGGGAGTGCAGCTGACAGTTGAAGAGCATTAAAAGTCTCACATTGAATTGCAGCTGCTCTCAGACGACATGTGCACAAGATCCTGTCCACACACAAGCACATAGTCAGCATCAGAGCTTGAAGACAACACGACTACATTGTATTATCGGACAGAACGTCAGACAAAAAATGTTGACATCAATCTGATCGAGGTTCAGATAGAATAAGTTAACCACAATAGCATCTAAACAAGAAAGCGGCCTTATCTTAGCATAGCATACGAACAAAAGAAGGTAAGGTCTTTAATAAGATTCCCCCGTCCCCCGCATTCAAAGGGTGTTCCTGATGAAAAGTTGCGCTGAGTCGGCATCTCCTCCCACATGTGCAATGCTGCAAAAAAAGGTGCGTGTGCCGCTGCTGTTTTTAAATGAGGATGAATGGACGCCCGCGCTTTAATAAGCATCATCACCGTGCTGCTGCCCGGGAGGCTCTGAGGAAACAACACGGCAAGTTGAACTGAAAAGTTTGTAATGATACTTGCAGATGTTGAGCAGGGACCGTGCCAAAAAACATCAGGTGAACCCGGACCACGATGGGATGTAAAAATATTCAAGGTAATTGGGGTTTTTAAACGTGTGCGCACCGTCGCTTAACTCTGAATGTGACTGTGGTCAGAATTAAGCAGTTACATTGAAATTCATATAAATGGGCGTCAGTAAACAGCTGCCATTATTTACATTGGCTCTGATTAAATCCAAATAGCGCTGAGATGCTCTAGTAATCTTTTCCTGATTAAATAAATGTTGTGGAATCTCTCTGCGGCTTGTGCTGTAAAACGTGACGACAAAAATGTCAGGAAACGCCTACGAGAACAGGATTATGATATTTGGGGTAAATCACCGGCACTTTAAATGGTTTGAATGTGACTGTTTAATTCCAAACACAGCCACACCCCCAGCTATTTATAAGTTTCCAACTGATTTAAATTTACCTTATTCCTTTATGTATAAAATCACAAAAACCTAGCATTTAAATAGGGGTGTGGAAACTTATTATATCCACCGCAGATGTAGTGAGCAGGTACCATGTCAGGATACGTGTAGTGTGTACAGATGATGTCTACCGAGCATGGGCCATAATCAATATAGAGACCCACCATCACATGGTGAATTGCATGTCTGTTGACATGGTCTTTGAGATCATGTCAGTGCTTGTGACCACACAATATGAGTGGTAAACGCAGACCACATCAATGGACATGCAGTGAGTGAAGACCACAATCAACTTGGGCAAACACGTGTAGTGTTTTCTTGAGACCGTGCACCTCCACAGTTTTACTGTATTCTGTTTGCCTTGCCGCTGCTGCCATCTGGTGGATACATTTGTTAATTATTTCACAGCCATAGCCCATTGCCCAGAGTCCTGGTTTTGAAGAATGTGTCCGATGGAAAGCAGGAATATTTCAGTTTGTTGTCATATATATTTTTACACGAGTAGTTGGAAAGAATTGTTTTTAAAATTATATATACATATTGGGGGAACGGTGTTGTGTGCATAAATAAAAGCACCGGGGATCTGTTTTGTTTTTTGACAGATGGCGTTTATTCTCACTGGGCATCATCTGACATTAGAATAGCTACAGAGACGGCCATTTGGAAGGT